AGAGAGAGAGAGAGAGAGAGAGAGAGAGAGAGAGAGAGAGAGAGAGAGAGAGAGAGAGAGAGAGAGAGAGAGAGAGAGAGAGATTTTATACCTGAAGCGATGTTGCTTAGCCACTGCAAGTCCAGAGGCGAATTGGGTTTACAATACTTTATAAGACATTCATTTCCTGACAACTTCTGAAGTTCTCTTTTCTCATGTTGTTTTGCATCTCTGGTGTACAAACCCACATCTTGACCACAATAGCAAAGCACAGAAGAATTTGCATGGCACTAGACACATCCAGGAAACACAGCGTTTAACACACACTTACCTGATGATAGCCCTCAATGGATTTTGGGAGGGAATGATGGATCACAAACCGCACATCTGGCTTGTTTATTCCTGCAAAGACAACAAAAGGAAGGCGAAGACAAGATTACCCCAGGTGCACATTCAGTGTGACAATGCCAACTCCACTCATACACCCAGCCATGTCCATGGAAATCAAACTCCCGAACCAGGAAACGAACTTAGCAAATCCAACTACATAAGAACTGCTGGCCATCAGGGAGAAAAGGACACAGTTGCCCTAAATATCACATCACGAATTTCACGATCGCTGCTAACCAGAAGCCAATTCCATGTACCCTGCAGATATGGCTGAATGGTACAGAGTGGAATTGTTGCCAAACAGATGATGACGTCGAATATGGAAGAAACAAGTTGAACGCAAAAAAAGAGGTTAATGCTATCCATTCCAGAGAAGATATCCCCCCCATATACAGGTCAGCGTCCCCCTGAACACAAGCACCCACAACCTCCAGAACACAAGTCCCAAATAGGAGAGTTAAGTATAGAGCATAGTGGCACACTATTTGTAAAGCAGATGAAACTGGGTAGTTTGTAGGTTCCCACAAAGTACTACTGGTGGCCAACTGTTTCACAGTGGAATGAGTGGCAGAGTGGAGAAGCATTCTGACTCCTCTTGTGCCTCTTTTGAGCCACAATTATCTTTTCGGGCCCATCCTATTTACAAGGAAGCTTACCCTTTTTTTCAGTTGGCCCATTCGACAGAGCGTCAACTTTTCAAGCTGGGCCGTCGGATTGCTTACCCTTTTTTTCAGTTGGCCCATTCGATAGAGCGTCAACTTTTCAAGCTGGGCCATCGGATTGACAATCCAGCGTCTGCAAGTTTTTTATTCCTGTCTGCAGGGGTTGTCCTGAATTTTCAGTAGGTGGTAGTTTAAGCCTCGAGTTATTGCTCGCCCCAGGAGTAGATCAAGTGAGTGAAGACTAGCAAGGAACAAAGAGAAAAGCCGTATGGGAACATTCTACATATCGGTGAATGCTGTATAAACTTCTATTCGGAGTCTGTCATTTGGTCAAGCGGGTGTAGGCAATCCAGAGGTGGAGCAGTCCGGCACTGTTTACCCATTCCCTGCAAGCATGTAGTTCGCAATGGTCCGTGGTGTGACAGTCAATTTTTCCTCCCATAAACATCCAGCAGTCTCACACTTTCTGCTGCATAACCATGAAAGAATCACATGCACACACATTTCCACACATACAGAGAAGAAAACAAGGACATAAATAACAACAATAAAATTTCCATAACTACATCAGTGGACAAAATGGCACACATATCCAGCTCTTCACTCCGACGCAAAACGTTGAAATCCAGTCCAATACCAAAATGTCAGGAACTTGGGGGCCAATATCGCCCTCCCACAGCCAGCACTCCCCCC